TTATATTTATATTTATATTTATATTTATATTTATATTTATTATTGGAATAAAATGTTTTTTTCAGGACAGTTACGGTATTTACATCCTGGATAATTGTTACTGCAGATTAATCAAGGCTGTAGAAAGCATTCAAAGACGTTGTCTAGAGTATATTGAAAAACACTTCTCTGTTACTGTTAAGGACCTGTAAAGCTCATATTTCTACTTTGAAACCCATCCCTAATTCTGAGGACATCTGCATGAAAGATAAGATTTCTATTGAGCTCCCACATGTGACTTGTTTTAATACTTCAAGGAAATATATTCTATTTATTTTAGCACGAGGCTCAACATTCTGTAAAGACTCTAGTGAGATTATGGGGAAATCTGGCAACTAGAATCTGGTGTGTCCTTTGGACTAACAAGAAGAACTGAATTAGACATTCCAGTTTCCAAAACTAGTGCTTTAGAGAATGCAGGAACATAACTGTAGCATTGTCTCCAATACCTTAAAGCCAACACACCCTTTCCTGGATCACACAACCTCAGAAAAGACATAACTACTTTGAAGTGTTGTAAACAGTGCTATATTTATGCTTCCAAATCCTTCTTTTGAGACTAAATTTGAAGTAGTGCTCAGATCATGGATGGGATTCATAGATTACGCAGATACGATAGTTAATTCATTAAATGAAGGATTCCTAGAAGGTAATTCCCGAAGCCAACCATGTGGTCAACAAAATGGCTTCTCTTAGAATTCTATGCCCCTTTCTTTCACTTTTACTTTTTACCTTCCCATGTCTACAAGGGAGAGTATGAAACCTGGATAGTAATGAGTAGCAATGGATGAGCCATGTCCAACTCAGTTTGGCATTGATCCTTAATTCTCTTTTAATTCAGCATTTCTTTAAGACAGAGAGGGGGGAGGGAGGGAGAGAATGTCGGTCCCCCCTGGGGTCCCCCCTGCACTTTTGTGGAGCTAGTAATGATGGGCACTCACTTTTTTCACTGGCCATCTGCAAGCATTTATCCCAAAGGTGTGATTGGTTCTCAGCCTTTTAACCGAAATGTAGCCTTACCCTAATCCACTGTCCTCTATTCCTAATTCATTGAAGGAGATTAAGAAGAAGTCTGCTTTTAAAGGCTTTCAGGCTAATATGATTTCTCAGTTGAGTCACTATGTATCAATTTTTCCCCTAACATATCATTTGTACTTTTTGTAAGCTTAAATTTTTATCCCCTCTCTGCAAACTTTGTCTCTTGGCATAATTATAATGTTTATTTTAGGTCATTGCAACCATCCCAACCAGTAGGTTAAAATTTCTAAAGGAAGCAGGAGGGCTTACATTAAAAGAAGAAGTGCCCGAAGAGGAGATGAGTGAAGATGTAGAAGAGATAGATCATGCAGAGAGGGAACTTCGCCGTGGACAAATCCTCTGGTTCAGAGGGCTTAATAGAATCCAAACCCAGGTATGTTGGATAAAAAATATGCTCCAGGAGAACAGTGACAATAGCAATAATCATGCAGATGCAAACTATAGCCTTAAACAACCTTTCTCACTTTCCCAATCCTCCAGATATATTGCACTTTTAATTCCATCATCCTCAGTTAGAATATTAGATGAGTACTGGCCAACAGGTTCTTTATTGATTTTTGCCTTTATTTTTATGGAAGTTACTGTAACAGGTCCTATATACATTACTATGTAATTATGGCTTGCATAAAGTCAGAATATTATAGTTCTAAACAGTGTGTTTCTGCAATCTATTTTCATTTTCAAGTAACACATTCTCAATTTTTCAATTGTAAGCTATATTTTTAGATTCTCAAAACTATGTCAGTGAAACCTAAGCTACATAGGCTAAGAATACATTTTCCACATGTTGTATGTTGCTGCCTTTCTGCTAGCAACATTAAGGGTTTATGTTCCATTGATTTGTTATATAGTTGTTTTACAAAACATAAGGGGGAAAAAACACTGCATCAGCATTATATGTAAATGGGTAAAATATACAGAAAAGTGTGGATTAAGTATTATAACAAACTTTTTAGCAAATTGCACTGTCATATCTCAATATATATTCAAATCATTGATTTCTCTATTTCTGTACAGAGTTCTTGTCATTGCAGAGAAAGTATAGAGTTATCACTAAAACCAGACATTTTTGAAAAGGCCCACTATTAAAATGCCAAGAGGGAACAAATGTTTGTAAGGTCAAGCCATGATTTTAGGTTAAGTGACTCCATCTCAGAAGCTTTATTTCTGCAGACCATGTTAAGCTGTGTTACAGTAAGTGCAGCCTCATTTTGTACTGTGACAGAGGTTTTTTTTAAAAGAAGGAATATATAGGGTAGAAAATAAAATTCACATCAGCCCAATGCACCCAGTGTTGCTGTCTAGAAATAAGAAATTAAAAGCAAAAGAAGTTAGTATTAGATGGAGAGCAACACATGGGAAGATAAATCTACATTACATGATAATTCAATAAAAAGCTGCTAACTTAAACCAGTAATTTACTAGCAATTTTTAGTAAAGGTTTTTTCAAAATGTATTCCCAAGGAGAGGCTATTATCTACCTTGAGTTTCCTCTAAATGTGGGTTATTTTCTTCCTGGTGGTTGCAGGAGGACTGTTGTCTGTTGAGATTTCTATCAGGATGTCTTTCTGGTTGTGGTGAGTGTAAACAACAAAGAGCCAACTCTCCACTTAGTTCCTCTCGTAGATTTAAAAATAGCCTTTAGTTCTTTTGTATGTCTTTATCTTCATGATCCATGGAAAATTCTTCTCTTCTTAACTGTTTCAACCAAAATAAACAATAATTATGCTTTCTTGCTAACCAAGACACTTCTCTTTTTACTTAGATGTAGATATAGCGTGGTAGGAATTTTAGCAATATATCTTACAATAATCCCTCACTACTTTCTGCCCTTTTCTCTTTTTGTGCTAATTTGCAATCAATGAATAATTTTGAAAGAGTTTTAAAAATACTTATGGTGTATGCACTTAACACTGAACTGAGTTAACGAGAAGTGATTAGGAAACCTTGCTGTGTTATGGTAGGGATTTATTGACATTATCCAAAGCTTTATGGCCTCTGGAAACCAGTGACGTGCGGTGAGGTTTATGGCTGGTGAGGCACTGACACAGTGGTGGGTTTCAAATTTTTTTAGACTTGTGGACTTCAACTCCCAGAATTCCACAGCTAGGCATGCTCAGTTCTGATTTAAAGCGACAGCATTTGTTTTTCTCCTTTGCCAAATAGGTTTCCTTCTTTCTTTTTCTTTTTCTTCTCCCTTCCCCTCCCGCCTCACCTACGTCAG